CATTAGTACACCAGCCTTAGGCAGGGAATTTCCTGTCCTCTGTCTTCCCATGGTTTGGGACAGGACAATCCAATCTGTAGGGAATAACCAGGAGAACCCAGCCACATCTCAAAGGATGAATTAAATCAGCCTAGSTAAACCCATGCTGAACTCCTAGGCTAATAAAGTCACTGAGAAGCCCTAATTCTAATTAGTTTAATTCCACTCCAAAAGGAATTAAAACCAAACCAAAAGAAATATGAAATTAAGAGCACTTTAATTCCATTTAATAATGGCATTTAACTAATCCAGCCGAAAATCAATTTGGATTAATTTGCTTGAGATCCTCACTAATACATGGGCTCTTATCAGAACTTCTGGAAGTCTGCATATGCATTTCCCTTGCACAGCTGACAGTGCATGCACCATGTCTCTCTGTCACCGTTTGAAAGACAGGTATTTGCTAATGAAGGCAGGGACCCCCCTTGGAGTGGTGGCTATGGCCCCCTTCCCTCCGAATTATTACAGCTTTGAAAGAAAACACGGGCTTTCAGGCAGGAATATGGGTAAAAAAGGAATAACAGTTTTTACCAATATATATATATCTAAAACAAGGTGAAACAAGTAGCAATAACAATGCAACAACAGCACAGTCCAAACCTAGTGACAGCCTTATAGAAACAGTCTCCTTCTTGGCAAGATTACAGTTTGGTTGGCAGCGGCGCCGCTGGCCCCCTGGCTGAGCAGGGAGGGCGCGGTGACTCTTCAGAGATGCAGGGGACGTGGTGGTGCGGGTCCCGGCTAGCTCAGATCTCCCGCGGCTGGGATGATCGATACAAGATGGCAGAGGTGGATGAAGAAAAGTTTCTCTGCAAAACTCACAGTGGAAAAACGCCGGTGCTCTTCTGGACAGCAAGAAACCCAGGACAGCAAAAAAGACGAGCAGGAATCCCGTGGACGCGAGACGGGAATGGAGCAGAGTTCACCCTCCTGAAGCTGGAGTCCTAGCAAGCCACCGCCGAGCAAAAGCACGGGGCGCCAGCAGAAAAAAAACCCCTCTCTCTCCCAAACCGCGAAAGAAAAAACCCACTCCCCAATCCCCACCCCACCACACAAAAGCTGTCTCCCCATTTAGGGTGTGGCCATAGGTGTCATTGTCCCTTCAATCGCCCGACCATTAACAAAACAGCTTGGCCATCAAGGTATCCCAGCAACAAATGGGGGAAGGAAAAAAAATTCCCAAAGTGAACAAAAAGAGAGGAATTTAAACCCACAACACTCTCAAGGAGCTGGGGGAACTGGGGCAGAGTTTCACCCATGTCTTGGACCCACATTTGAGTAGACAGAATAAAGGGAGTTTTCTGTTACAGAGTAATCACTGCAAGCCCTGAAAAATGGTAGCTATCAAGATATTTCTCAATGATGAAGCATAAAATAAACCTCATCCTTCAGAATTTAAGTTTATTAAATTCTTCACTGAWAGGGYTTTCCARCRTTGGCACAGRWTGTCCAAGGCAGTGGTGGAGTCCTTATCCCTRGAAACATTTTAAAGCTCTGTGGATGTGGCAGCTGGGGACATGGTTAGTGGTGGCCTTGGCAGTGCTGAGGGAATGGTTGGACTCCATGATCTTAGAGGGCTTTTCCAACATAAACAATTATGATCTTTTAGGAAGGCCAAGATCATCCCACATCTGGGATTCAGAAAGCTTTGTAACACCTTTGAGAATGGATCATTACTGCTGTCAGCAGCCAAGGCATCATCCAGCACCCTCACCATGCCAAGGGGTATCTTGAGGACATCAACAAACCCATGGCTCAGCTTGGAGAACACAACCCTGAGCTGCTAACAGCTCACTGCCTTCAGAGCACAGGTCATACACATTAACTTGGCATCCCTCAGACACCTCTGAGTGAGGAAACTGTTCATCTCTCACCAGAAAAACCTTGGGTTTTCTCAGTTAGATGCTCAGGCACAGACCAGTTTGTTTGGACCCTTAAGTACTTTGACAATGATTAAATGTTCAATTCACTCATAAAGACCAGAAGAGCAAACACCATCCAGAGGGTGTGGAAAAGACAACCCATTCAAGGCAGGACAGAGGATAATCCCATCCCTTGGCACCTCAAACCCAGCTCCATTAGATACTTCAGCTGGACAGCAGGAGCAGGAGGCCGTGCAGAGTCACATTATTAACTTTCTGACAGCTTGGGAATAGAGATTGGTCTCTGGCAGGTGGAGAGGGAAGGAGTGAGACAGTGGGAACAATCCTTAAGGGAGGATGGAGTTTCTGTTGAGGAGTTCCCAGCGGAAAAAGGGTGGTGTGGTGTACAGTCTAGACCTTCAGTGTAAGAGGCTTTGCCCGAGTCTCTCCTCTGCTACAGATTTCCTTCTCAGTCTTGTACAAGCTCTCTGGTTTCTCTGTGAGTTTTGGCCAAATCATCCAGATTTGACTAAATGAGGACCTTCYTYCCCCAGGTCTASTTCAGGGGACAGCCCTTGCAGAAAMRTTAACCAGACCCACCAAATCTGGAGGAATGCAACTGCTACCCTCCAGCTGCCCATGGCTTAGAGTGTCAAAAATCACAGATGCACAGACTGGGTGACATTGGAAGACAACTCTGGAGGYCATCACACCCAACCCTCTGCTCAAACAGGGCCATCCATAGCCAGTTGCCCAGGACCATGTCTTATCACTGAATCACACAATGGTTTGGGTTGGAAAGGACTTTAAAACTCATCTCATTGGAATGATACCTTCCACTAGACCAGGCTGCTCTGAGCCACATCCTACCTGCCCTTGAACACTTACAGGGATAGGGCAGCCAAAGCTTCTCCAGGCACCCTGTGCCAGAGCTTCACCACCCTCATCATAAAAAAATTTGTTCATCATATCTGGTCTTAATCTTTCCTCTCTTAGTTTAAAACCATTCTCCCCTGTGTTGTCACTCCAATCGCTATTCTTTATTCTTTCCTTTCCTGTCTTCCTCCCTCTTTCATTGGGATGAGCACCAAGAGAGCATCCCTAGGATGTTTCCTAGGGAGAGATTTCACAGATGTGTGGTGTCTTAGCACAGGTGAACTCTCCCATTGAGGCAGTTTCCACATCTCAATGGCTGCCCTCCTGTGCCCCCGCCCCCCTTCTTGTCTCCCTGCACACACAGAGCCAGAAATGTAGCAGTTTCCAACACGCCTGAACATCTTGGTTTCCTGCTTATAAATCACTTGGAGATAAAAGACTGTTTGGAAGCTGAAGATGAATGCAGAAAACATTAATGCAAGCTGAGATTACTCTAAAAAGAGCTAATGGTGGCAGGGCCCTGGGCACTTAGTGATTCAGCCATCTGCCTCTCTTCCTGCCTAGATACTTCGGCACCTGGGCAGTGGTGGGACTTTTGTTTTTTCATTCCCCTCATTAGGAGCAGGTGGCTTGAATGGGCACATGTACAGTCAACAGTGCTTTCGTACAGGTGGAAAATGAGCCATGATGTAAGAAAGTAAAATATGATTAACCTGCAGATCTAGCTGCTTCTAGGAAAACACATGCACCATTAACTGCACCCTGAGTGCACATGGAATGGGRGTACTTGGAAGGGTGACACTGAAATGCATAGGGCCTTGGTTATTCTTGATCACAAGTGCCTTTGAGTTGTCTGGAAATGCATGGTGATTCTGTGATTACAGAATGACAGAATTGCTTAGATTGGAGAAGCCCTCTAAGTCCATTGAGTCCAGCACTATCACAATCACCACTTAACCATGTCCCCAAGYGCCACATCTATATGTTTTTTGAATAATTTCGGGGATCTTGGTCCCACCACTTCCCTGGTCATCTTGTTTCAATGTCTGACCACCCTTTCCATGAGGAAATTATAACTAACCTTGGAAAGATCATCTTCCTCCAGTGCTGTGAGTATCCTCAGCACACATAGAAACAGAGCAGAAGCATTAGCATTTTGTTTTGCCTGCTTCTGCCTGGGCTGTGCACACACCGGTTGATGTTGGCATGGCAAGATCTTCTCRGTGTCAGAGCTGGAGGGTGGATTTGTCACACAGCTCCTTCCCCCTGGGCAGTCTAGAGCAAGTGTAACCAAGTCCAAATCCTGATTGTCCCTTACCTCCCACTAATCATCCCCTCTTGTTCTGTGCTCCCTGTTCTCCCATGTAGTTTATCCCAGGCTTCAATATCACTTTCAGATCGGCTGAGGATTTTAACCAGCTGCTTAGCCAACCCCCAAGGGCTGGTCATGAGCTGCACTGTATCTGCAATCCATGCTGCCCATCCCTAAAATGCTGGATATGGGTATTCCCTGCTCCCCCCTCCTGCTAAAGTTGCAGCAACCTTAGCCAGACATCCACTACGCTTTGATTCACCTGGGCACCCAACACAGGCACGAAGAGCTGGGCTTCTACAGGCTTTCACCAGTGGGAAGAAACCATCAGCTTCTCTGTTAGATGTCTAAGAGCCAGATTTCAACTTACCATTGTGTGAAAACAACCTGGAATCATCTGACACATGCTTCAGGACAGGATAAACCTTGGATTCACATCAGGCTGATGGGTGGGCCATGTGCTTGTGCTCTGTAGTAGCTCTACACAGATCAGAGTGATTATGCACTCCCTCTGCTGTTCTGGTTGTGTGATCAAGGGGGTCTGTGTGGAAACAATCACCCTTTTCTCATGGGTTTTTTCCATATTAGAAAATGTATTGGAGGACATTTTAAATGAAATTGGTTTCCAACAGCACCTAGACCAGTTCAAGACAACAGCTCAAGAGGAACTGTACCATTGGAAAAGTTATTTTAGGCCAATAGGTGGCAGGACATGGAAATATGGGCAATGAAATACATCTCAGTGAAAAATGGGGGAGTTGTTCCAGTTGGCTTTTTCCCACAGAAAAGCATGGTGGGTGCTAGGTACTCCCTCCAGGAATGCCTTACCTGCTCTCCACAGCCAGTGTTCCACCCTTCTGAGGTGATGGCATTAACTCATGGCTCCTTTTTGGYTTCATCTCTGGGTCTAGTTGATGAAGACAGCGGAACTGGACCCTAGACAGAACTACCTGGTAGGATTTCATCCCCACGGAGTCCTGGCAGCTGGAGCCTTTCTCAATTTCTGCACAGAGGCATCAGACTTTTCCAAGCTSTTCCCAGGCATCACCCCACACCTGATGATGCTTTCCCTGTGGTTTCGCATTCCGTTCTTCAGGGACTATGCGATGAGTGGAGGTAAGAGCATGGGCCTCTAGCAAGCAGTGGGATGGGTGGGTGCTTTTTTGAAGAACATAGAATGAAGACCCATGGGGAAGAGGAGTCAAGGGTCTGTTTTCCCCATCAGGAGCCAATTGGATCCCATTCATGGGCACAGCTATTGGAGATGGCACCCCAAAAACTCTGTAATTAAAAATTGCCCTCCTCCCTGCTGTCTCTGTTGTTCAACTTCCTAAATGTCCTCTGTGCCCAAGGCATCACTCTGCCAGGTGTAACAGCAAAATGCAGAGGAAATTGTGAACAGAAATGCTAAGAGCTGCAGAGCAGGGAGATCCTGTATTTCTGTCCATAAAAATTTTATTCAAAAAATTGAATGAAATTGTGAGGAAAAAACCTCTTTTTCTGGGAAGCAGCATGCAGGGACCTAGGATGAAAATAGCAGTTCATGCTGCTGCAAAGGAAACTGTCAGGAGAGGAAGGTGTAGTGAAAAGGAATAGGATAAAGAACAGGTAAAAATTAAATGGAGAGAGGTGAAAGGGAGTTTTGAGAGATTTTTGGACATTGGCAGGATGACTTCCATTTCTCACCAGTGGACTTGGCAATGGCCACGCCTCCAGCTGAATGTGGACATCACACAGGCATCCAGTTCCATCTAACATAACCCAGGGCATCCACTACCCTGTTTTCCATATAAACTCTGGCTTCTGCTGCTGAAAAAATATTTACATGGAGTGTGAGAAATCAAAACTGTGAGATATATGAGAGACTCATGACCTAGGTGAAGGAAGGTTTAATCACTTTAATATGGGCATTGGGTGCATAACACATTTTCAGGTCAATTGAATCCATTTCACAAAGAGGTTTTAATTTGCAGATTATTTCAGCTCCGAAACAAGGATTTTTTTTTTTTTTACAAGTCAACACAATGTTACTTTGTAATTTCTGAATTAAAGATTAATTTATTCAAGTAAACAACACCAAGGGGTCAAATCCTTCATTAAATTCCACTCTAAATTAGCACCGTCCACTGAAAGTTACATGTGTTTTGACCTAAAGCAAATATTTCTCTGACTTCAGAAATATTCAGGATTAGACACGGTCTCACTTGACAACAAATTGAAACAGATTTTTCCTGGGGCTTACGTGCAGCTAGTTCTCCAATTACTTTTTTCCTAGTTTTTTTCCCTCATTTCTCACTTCTGAGCCAGAAAGCAAATGAATAATTGCATACTCATCCAGCAGAGCTGTGCATAAATGCAGCACCTTTTAAGGGAGCTGAGCTGAGGTTTTCAACTCCAAAGATAGTGTTTAGCACCTCTCCAGAGATGGATAATAGGGGCAAAATGTCCAGAGCAAACCACAGTCAGCTGGGTTTTACAGATGGATTTTACTTTCAATTCCTCTCTTCTCTCCAGGCCTCATCTCCTCTGACAAGGAGAGTGCATCCTACGTGCTGCAGAAGCCGGAGGGTGGGAATTTGCTGGCCATCATTGTCGGCGGGGCTCAGGAGGCACTGGATGCCCGGCCRGGATCCTTCACCTTGCTGCTGAAGAACAGGAAGGGATTTGTGCGCTTGGCCATCCAGAAYGGGTGATGCAGGGGATGGGGTCCAGGGGTGCTGATGAGGGGTGCTCAGCTCCTCCAGCTGGCTGGTTAATGGGGTGTTTCTGTTTTGGAGAGGAACAAAGGGGTTTTGGGGTGAGCTTTGCTGATTGTGACACCCTTTTATTGGTTTTGACTCCCTGCAGCACCCCTCTGGTCCCTGCCTTTTCCTTTGGGGAGAATGATGTCTTTGATCAGGTGAGGAACCCCAAGGGCTCCTGGCTGCGGTGGATTCAGCACCGGCTCCAGCACGTCATGGGCATCTCCCTTCCCCTCTTCCATGCACGAGGGATTTTCCAGTACAGCTTTGGRCTGATACCCTACAGACGGCCCATCTGCACCGTAGGTGAGTCAACCCACACAACTCTGGCGTGATGCCAGACACACTCAGGCTGGTCAAACTGGGGAAACAGGGACAGTTGTGTCACTGTCCTGCCAGGCTGAAGCATCATGCCAGAGAGCATGAGCAGTGGTGGGCTAGAAATGTGCTGCAAAGCAGCATCCCCAACTGTTCACATGTCACACTGGTTTGGCAGTCTGTCTTGATCTCATGACAGATCCCAGGTTATCTGGGCTGAGCTAGGAAAAGCCCCAAAGCAAACCCAGCCACCCCACTGCTCCTGTGAAACACAGACAACACCAACAGTGGTGCAATGTGGCGACACAAACCACTGTAATAGGGTTGCATTAAACATCTTCCAAGGCAGTTTTACGAATACAAATAGGATCAGCAGCTCAAGAGAGAGTATTCTGCCCCTCTGCCCCACTCAGGTGAGACCCCTTCCTCCAGTGCTGCCTCCAGCTCTGTGGCAAGAACATCAGAAGGATGAGGAGCTGCTTGAGCGAGTCCAGAGGAGGCCATGGAGAAGCTCCAAGGGATGGAGCCCCTCTGRTTTGGAGACAGGCTGGGAGAGCTGGGGGTGTTCAGACTGGACAAGAGAAGGCTCTGGTGAGACCTTAGAGCCCCTGCCAGTACCTAAAGGGGATTCAAGAAAACTGAAGAGGGACTTTGGACAAGGGCATGGAGTAACAGGGATGGCAGGTTAKATGGGATATTGCRAAGAAATTCTTGGCTGTGAGRGCCTGGTACAGGTTGCCCAGAGTAGWRATGGCTGCMCTGCTTCTCTGGGTGTGCTCAAGGGCRGGTWGGATGGTGYTTGCAGYAATCTGGCCYAGTGGAAGGTGTGCCTGCYCATGGCAGCGGGGTGGAATGAGATGATCTTTAAGGTCACTCCCAACCYAAMCCAWTCTGTGATTCTGTGAACACTGAAGCAGTTTGCAGGTTTGCTCAGTGTCCTGTGCAGACACATCTACAAATCCAAACCTATTTGTATGTGAAGAAAATGAACTACTTTGACCAGAGACCATTTCTGTGACAGGCCAAATTTCAAGAAAACCTTTGGTTTTGAATAAATTTTTCAACAACTCCATGCTTGGCTCACCAGTGTGGCTGATGCTCTGTGAATCAATCTAGTTAAAAATGCTGTTTGGAATGGTCAGRGCTCACAGCGCTGATTAAGTTTGACAATAAGCAATTACTTCTAATTGTATTACAACCTGTTTGGATTGTCTCAATGGTATTATGAGCTGTGTAGCATCACATGGAGTCTTCATTAATTGGATGAGGAATAACATTATTTGTCACTCGACCAAAACAATTTGAGTAAGAGACCAGAGCAAGAGAGGTTCCTCATGGACTTCCCTGTCTCCTGCCAGGCACCTGCTCCTGGTAGCTCTGGGAGATGGAAAGGCTCTTCTAGTGATAGGAATCAAAATAATTACATTTTCCCTTGAATAAAACACTTTTTAAAGATAATGTAGATACCTGATTCCTAATAAAAATCTGATGTTTCASAKWATCTTCAATCTGAGCAAAGTGGAARCACCTCTACTGCAAGAGTATTTAAATAGTGTGGGGCTCCCCTGCGCCTCGTTTTCCCCATTTGCAATGTAGATTCCCAGGGCTATGTAGAAACAGCTCGGAAAGCCCAACCCAAATATTATCTTGTCTTTATATTGTGTTTATCTTCAATACATCTGAGATATGAGGAGCAGCTCTTGGGATTGCATTGGGACACAGCACTTTTAACTTCAAAAAGCTGCACAGAGGTGACATTAACCAACTTTGCAGATGGGTGAGTAAACTGAGGCAAGGACTGGTGTGCTCTTGGAGACCAACAGCTTGGTCAGATCTGGGCTATCATCCCTCCTTGGTTTTGTTATCTCCCAAGCTTCAGTAAATGACTGCTCATGTGGACCTGTTCCTCCTGGAGAGGCTGACCTCAGCTCTGTGCTAGGGTGTACAGAGGTAGCTGACACTKGCTTTTCATAATGCCTGTGCTTCTTTTCCAGTTGGGAAGCCAATTCCAGTGCAGAAGAAGAGCAAACCATCTGAGGAAGAAGTTGATCAAGTCCATCAAAAATACCTAAATGAGTTGTCCAAGCTCTTTGAGCAGCACAAAGCTAAATTCAATGTCCCAGAAGACAGCCACCTGGAATTTATATAGAGTGCCTCAAGCAAGGTGAAACCATGGAGATRAAGATCCCAGTTTCCCCATTCTCTGGAACTGCTTCACAACCTCAACATAGTCACAGTTAACATATACTCCATATAGTCCATATAGGTAGGGAAAAGAGCTTGATTTTCCCAGTATTCACATGGATATAAGTGCCAGATWTTGATTTTTTTACTTTTTCTCCATGGACTCCTCCTGTTCTGTCTCCTCCAGGACACATAAAAGACATAAAAAAGATATAAAAARGRTGTTGRAAATCTCTTCTGCAGTCATCACTRTTCAATMTCCCCAGCACAAAGCTCACACTTCRTGTCTGCCATAGATGCCAGTTTATACAGACATTTATTCCTGGGCAGATCTAAATTATTGAAATTCATTCTTTGCATTGTTTTCATTTTGAAACAGGACAATGAGCCATAATTTGTGCTGAAGGCATATGATTTGAAAAATATAATTCATCTAGAACAACAAATGAACATTGTTTGTTTGCTGGTCTTCATGTTTTCAATTGGTCTGGGCTTTTTTCTCACYACCTGAAGCACAGTTTATCAGAAAGGCCTTACTTCCACCAGTGATGCCAAGCACCCTCAGCAGCACAATGCCATAGCCCACCATGGCAAAAGAAATTAAATAAATTCCATTAGAAATATGCATTGGAACTATAAAATATTTCTAATTATTRTAAAGAAACCAGGACCCACTYTGGCAGTCACACTCACACTASCTGAGCTGAGGCCCCTYTCAGATCCACATTCCACACTCACACAGTCAGGCTGTGTTTCCTTACTGGCTCAGCCCCTGGTTTCCCATAGCACAGTCTCAGACATCTGGATCCTTCAAATAATTTAATCATGCAAGAACAAAATAACAGCTTGGTGTGGGAGCCTCCAAAAGTGAAGAGAAATCTCAAAAAAAACAAAACCCCTCAGTTTATGTGCCCTTACTATCTGAGTGTGGGCAAGTCTGGGCTCTTCCTGCTGAGTCCTGGGCTCATTCACCTGGCTGTGCCACAGCTCCTTGTGCCCATTTATTGTGCAAACAGTTGGCAATTCACAGCMTCTCGCCTCCAGAGCTCCATCTACATCTGGCACTACAGCTGCCTGTGAGCTGCCTGCTCTGAGCATGTTCTTTAATGATTAGTTTAGGAATATAAATTAGAAATAAACTTATAAAGTCCAGGGACTCATTTAAAGGGTTCACCATACCTGGGCTCTAGGAGCCCTGCTTCCAATTTGATTCATTTAATCACAGACACCCCTGTATAGGAACACTGGACCAGTCACCAGCTATGGCAGCATTTTGTTTTACAAATGAGACCATTTTCTTGGGAAAGAGGAGCATGACCAGGACATGGGGGAAGAGAGAATTGATTTGGGCCAGAAAGATCCATTGGAGTTTAGGGGAGCCACATTTGGCAGGTGATCAAGACTTTAAATAGCTGCTTCTTTTTGGTATCCAGAACTTCATTWAACTCTGCACTTAATGGGATTTTGCACTGTGGAAGTTTTAGGTGGCAGGCAGCCTTCTGTTCATATCCCCCTTACAGACTCCTGATACCTTTATCTTCTTCTTTCTCCCTCCCTCCCTTCATTTCTTCCCCACATCCGAAGCCCACTTGTGAAGAGCCACCAAATTCCTGCAGATCACATGCAACTTATTTTTGTTCCTGAAACTGCAAGAATTGCATTTAACAAGAAAAGGTGTTAAAAAAATTGAAAACTGTCTCAACTGACAAAACCAGACCTTCACWGAGGTTTCTTTCCTTTTCTTGCCTCCTGTCCTGACCAAGTTCTTCCACTGGATTCTTAACCTGAATAACCTGCTTCAAATCCCTCCCATTCCCAGAAAACAAGCACTGGCAAGGAAGAATTTAATGGACCTGGTCAACATCTAAATACTAAATATTCTAAACACTACTGTAATCCCAGACTTAATCCAGCCCAAAAAAACAAGTCACAGGCTGTGATTTCTTGCTTGCTTTCTCTTTAATTAAGACAAAAAAAATAAGGACAAACAGGAGAAAAAAACAGGAGGAAAAAAAGGAAAAAAAAGAGGCACCAAAAAAAAAAAGGTATCTGTCACCCTTTTCTCTTGGTGCTCAATCACCACCCAAGCTTTACCCTACCTCCAGGGTTTTTTTCTCTATGCTTTTTTCTGCCTTTCCTTTCACTGCTCATCCACCCACAGATGTCAGGAATGTTGCCATGACCTTCTGGAAACATCCCAGTAGGGATCAGTGCCAGAGAGGAGTGATGGGATGTCCCCAGGGTCACAGCAAGTGTGCTGCAGGGATGGGGGTGCTCTCCAGAGGTGAGAATGAGGAGCTAAGATCTCGATGCAAGGGGAAAAAGAGCCACAGTGCTGTTCTTGAGGTGGAAAGCACAATAAGAGATCCCATCTCAAGAAGCCAGAGCTGTCTCCGAGCAAAACACTGTAGGTCAAGGAGCTTTTGTGCTATTTCAGCCTCACACAGAGCTGTCTGGAGGATTAAAACTCCTCTGATGCTACACAAGGCAGAAGAAGCCTAAAGAAAAGAAAAGAAAAGTGCTCAGATCAGCCAAACCAAACAATRTTTAGGTTTGGACTCCTCTTCAACTTGGAACTGACTCAATTGGAGGCACCTCCAAGGCTCCCTAAACTGAGGGACCTCTAAGCTGTCACCTTAAAGAAAGGACCACTTAAAGCTGAAACAACACTGCATGTCTCCTTCCAGTCCACTCCCTACTTACATGGTTGTCTTTGATCTGAGAAAGAAGCCCAAGGAGAAGAGATACATCCAATTGCCTCTCTTGCAGAAATTTCAAATTTCACTCTTTTTGGGACTTCTATGGAAATTCTGAATTGGAAAATACAGGAAGAAATAAAAGTGTGGTGATTCAGTATTCCCCTCCCACCTGTCTCTTCCTCCCACCTCTTCCCTCCTGATCTCTCTTGTATTTCTGTTGCGAGAGGCTCTAATCTGGATTTGCCTTACTTAGCAGGTTCAGATCATGAGACTCAGAAGAAAACCTCTGATGACTGATGACTACAAAGTATGGACTAATTCTTCAAGAGGAGAGCCAAGCAAACCAATGCCTTTTTCTTCCCTTCTGTAGGTCTTGTTCCACAAAGTTGTTTTACTGCCCTGAGAATGGGGTTAAAAAATTGCCTGCTGTTGCAGCAAACAGCTAGGAAAATGTGTGATTTTCTGCTCAGGGAAAGATTTGCTGCCTTTAGTTCAATAAAGTCCCAAAATGCATCCCTCTCTTACGGCACCTTTCAAGAAAGGAAATAAAATTGCCAGTGTATCTGAAACCTGTCACTTTGTATTAAAAAAAACAACCAAACAAAAACCCACAAAACGAAATCCAAAACAAGAAATCACTTTTTTTTTTTTTTGTTTCCTTTTCCATTTAAACATTTGGAACACTAACATTTAAAACATAGAAAACACAGGTCTCCTCATGAACAYGGACACTTTTTTGGGGGGTAATCTGTTAGTTCTGTTTGACTTGTACCCAATGAGCTCTTCTGCATCTCCCATCACGTGAGCTCGCCACTTGACACAGCCTTTCTTGGAGGAACCATCTGACACAAGATTTTGGCAAACTGCCTTATTCAGGTTATAAAAACCGATTAATGAAGAAATAATCTGCAATTACCAATGAGGCAGAAGGGTATATATTGGATTTAAAGAATTACTGGWTATGATTCACCTGTTTTTCAAACTTGTGCCTGGTTTTACTCCTACCCATGTCCTCACCCTAGCCCCACTGGAGATCCTGAGCCATTAAATTTGGGTTGGCAACCTACAAAGCCACCACATCTCTGGGGCAAAGGGGGCTTGTGTGCTTCAGGCAACATGTGCCCTTCAAAAGACAGAATGCACTTATCAAGAGGGAAACCACCTGTAAAATCAGGTAGTTGTGAGCCAGCATCCTGGACGTCAGGATACAAAATAATTCCTGTGAGCTAACAAGATTCATGTTTTATTAGATTATAAGAAGCCAACAAAATACAGACCAAACATGATTTCAATGACCAACTCAAGATGCACTGAAAATTACACAGAGAAGCACTACAGGAAGGATTTTAAATCACTTGTTTCTGAAATGYTTGCGGGAAACCATGAATGCACAGAAAATGTGCATGCACAGAAGAAAAATAATGCAAAGAAAAAATTCATGCCTAATTCTTGGTGGAGAAAGTTTTCTGATCCCATAGAATTGAAGGGGAACAAACAGTAGAAAGCAGTGCTTTTATCTTCACTGCTGCTAGCAAGGATAGAACTTGGATGCTCACCACAAACAAAAGCTTCATGGACAAGGGTGCATCTGGATGCTGAGGAATTCACCTCYACATCACAGAGTACTTTGAGCTGGAAGAGCATTGCTGCATTGTCAAGAGTACGTAAACAAGGCCGTGGGGTCAGGATTTTAGAATTGTTTACARGGTGCTTAGCTTCTACTTTCTGAAAGGGAAATCCTCTAAGGATCCTGCCGTGAGGCAGGATCTCCTAGGAAGGCTAAACACCTTATTTTCCTCATTAGCAGCCCAAAAATCCTGAGATACTCACTTGCTAAAATCACAGTGTGTCTCTCAGAGGAAGGAATGAGCTGAGTGTCAGATTTTTCTATGCTGTGTTTTTGACATTACCTACAAATTCCGTAGTGTGCCTTGTTTCCAGGAACTGCCAAGTACTTTACACGTAAATAGGATCCATAATCCCTGCAGAGGTGGAGCAGGAGCCCCTTTAACCCCTCTGTTGATGCTGGGCTTCTGTCAACTTGAGATCATGAATAGCACAAGGCCAGAGAGCAAGAATAAGCATGACCCTGTGGCCCAAATTCCCAGATCATCTAGATCCATGTGATTTGTGGCTGGTTGGAGGAAGACTGTAGCAAAGTTAAGACCTAAATCCTCCTGAATCRTAGAATAGCTCATGACCCTCATTGTAAAAAAACTTCTTCCTTAYATYTAATCTAAATGGACCATCTTTTCTAAGAATACTTATAGTTAACATAGAGAGGGAGAAAGAAGAGTATCAATCTGGTAAGCGATAGTCCAGACAAAATGAAATTAAAACTATTTTAAAGTAAGCAAGCAGAATGGCTAAATTCTTATTWAAAATTTAAAATTTAGAAATAAAGAGGTGATGACCAGATTTCACAGGTATTTAGTATAAAAATTGTCCCMTTCCTTAGAAAGTGCAAATGACACAGAGAAAGTCCTCTCCACATTA